ACACACACACACACACACACAAACACTCATATAGCTTCACCCGACAGATACACATGCACATTCCCTACTGTCACATACTCTGTCTCCAGGGAGACGAGCTCGCTGTCATGGTACACTTCCCACAAATGGATTTTTAACCCCGTGCCTCCTGGGGGATATTTGAGAAAAAGCTTTAACTGATTTAAAACGAATAATTATGAGCCCTACTTCCCCCGCAAAGTCCATTTTTATTCATGGTTACTTACACTCTGAAGCTGTAGTCTTGGGGGGGCTGGGCTACACCCCTCCCTATCTGCTGGTCCGGGGGGGAGGGAGGTGCAGTGCGGCTGTCCCTTCGTCTGAGCCACGAGGATGGTTGACACCTGCCTCTTCCTGCCCAGCTCTGATGTACCTCAATCGGATGCGTAGCCATGCAGGACATGGAGTGTGGGTCACAGTGACCACACACAGCAAACCTGTTCGTAGCTGCATCCAATATGGCGTCAATACCTCCTCGTGTGGAAAAGCCAGCACTCTCTTTAATCCACCCACCACCACACACCTATCTCTCCCTCTGTTTCAGCTCTTTCTCCATGTTTACACCTCTCCACCCTCCATCACATTCACATGTAATTGTCCTGTATGTGTCTTTAATCAGGCATGAAAACAGTTGGAATATTACATACTATTGCTAACACTGCAAATGGTGCACCTCAATTAATAATGCATTGGAGCTGATTTCATTTGCCTTTATTATTAGGCCAGGTAATGAATCTCAGCGGGGGGGGGGGCTGTGAAACCATTAAAAATACAGGAGGAGGGGTAGAGGTGGTATATCCGCCACATTCTTACTAGAATATGTTCCCTGTTTGAAGATTTTGTGCTTTCCTAATTTCCCTTTGGGTGAACACTGACTGACACTCTAATTAGATTAGGGCTGCATGCTCTTTGGGCAAATTAGGAGAAATGCGTAGCATCTTAAAGGGAAGTCTGTCAAATTAATAGAAAAGGTATTTATGTATGAGAGACACTGTGTTTTGACAGAATTTGTGTGTGTGTGTGTGTGTGTGTGTGTGTGTGTGTGTGTGTGTGTGCGTGCATGTGTGTATGTGTGTGTGTGTGTGTGTGCGCGCTATGGCTGGAATAGCATAATGTGGTTGTTTGTGTTTGTCGGCGAGTGGGTATTTATTTGTATGTGTTTATTAACGGCGGGTTCTGTACCTGGCCCAGCCCATCTGCTTGCCTCACCAAACTGGTGACATCATAGAAACTCAATGACACGCCTGTTCCTCATAGCGGCTGCCATCACAGCTGTTACTGTAGCAATGGGAAGACCTCACTTGTTTTCTCTCTCTCTCTCTGCCTCACACACACACACACACACACACACACACTCAAGCCTGTTTCCCGGTCGAACCGCAGTGCCAGTTTTCTGACCATCCCGACTGCAGGACATTATGGATGTCAAAATGTTGATTGTAACAACTGTTGTGATGGTCGTTCAGGGTTTTAAATCCATTGCAATGAAATGGTGTGTGAAATAGACATTAAAGTGTTGGATCGCCTCTGATTTCTCAAGGTCAGGTGCCCGTCCCTGTGTGACACTCAAGCGTTGTGTTGGCAAGAGAGTCCTCCCAAGGCAACGCAGTCATTTCAGCGTCGCTTTGCAATTCTCTCAGGGCCGAGGAAGAAGCAGCAACTTCACAGCCAAATATCAAAAGTCTTTTTGAATATTGGCAGCTTGAGAGCAGAGAGCTAATAAACCTCTCTGGATAGCATCAGCATTCAACTCATTTCTATTTTCTTCCAGAAACAATTCTGGGTTCTCCAGTTACTTGCTATGTACTGTATGCTTCTCGCTTGTCTTTGCATGCAATTTGAATATATAATACATACAATTAAATTATTTAAATGTTTCTTTTCCATATAGAAACTCAGCACATCTCTCCAGATGATATTTTACCTGGCTGTGTACCAGTTAAAAATAGTGTTGAAATGCTTCCCTGCTTTTAATCATTTCTCTCCCAGAACTCCACCGCGCTCGCATGTCAAGTGACTTATTAAGCTACACTTGTAGCTGTTATAAAGTCCAGTTTGGCTCAACAGTTGCTGATCTTTTGTCAAAGTCAACAATCAGTAGTATTGATCCAGTCATTGGATTTATTTAACTAATTCACTGAAGTTGACTGAAGCTGAAAAGTCCCGGAAAGAGCAGGCGATAGTAATTAAGTAATATCTGTACAATTAGAAAAAAGACGTCAATGAAAAACTCAAAATTAAACCAAGGTCTAAATTCTGGGACTAATAGATTTAACAGTCGACTTCTGAGTCTCGACACAGTTGAGGTGATCTGATTTAAAACAAAACGTGTATACTGACCAAAACTTACCTGACGAAACAGAGGCTATAGAGCTGAAGTCAAAGTTCTGTTATATCCTTAGACAATCTTTGACAACTGAGTTCTCAGAACGGTGCAGCTGCCATTTGTTTCGGGGGATAACACCTTTGTCTCATTACATTAAAGCTGTTCGAAAATATCTTGTGGTCGAGTTTTAAGGAGAAAACTAAACCAGATATGATTCGTGCACCATATGCCACTTGTGATATGTCCAGCTGGAACCAGCTTATTGTGTGTGACAAGCTTTAATATGAATCATTACAATTTGATATATTGTGACAAATAAGCAGTCTGGGTTGATCTTAGATAAATATTTTTATTAATCATATATAAATTGTGGATATTATAATATAATATAAATCCAGTTAAATGGCATGGTGACATCTGTAATGTCATTACTGATACATGATGTTAAAATGAATTTAAAGATACATTTAAAGATATCTTGAAATATCATTGTCAATTGTCAAAAATCCATGAGTCTCATGGATCGGAGCAGGTTGCCAAAGAAAGGCGCATGTCCCTGCATACAATGTGAATGTTTGATAAATGGTGAGCTTAACCTAGTTTAGCTCAGGTCATGCATGTGTGTGGGTTTAGTGAGTGTGACTAATGCTGAGGGTTTACTAGTCTGTAATACTGTAGTGAGCCTACAGTTAACACATCTTTTCACATGGACAGTACAAACTAAATCCTGACAATTACATAATCATCACAGCTACTGCTTTCACACACTATTCATCAAAACAATTATATTCTGTGTAGCATGCAATATTTTTTACCATCTGAAATTAAGAGACTTCTGCAAGACATGAGTTTAGTTTGGTTTCTGCAACTACACAGCAAAATCAGCATACCCAAATTAACTCTGTCATTTTTAACTCTTTAAGTGTCTACATGGGTCCACACCACAAGTGTTACTTTAACTCTTTTTGAAAATTACACTTAGTGTTAGTACTGTAACACTAAGTGTAATTATTGACTCTTTTTGGAGTTAAAATGTCACTCTTCTTCACTCTAACCAGAGTTTTTCTCAACACTTGTATAGTGTTAGACATTAACTCCCTCATGGAATAGTTTGTTAACTATACAAGTGTTAAACCCACATTAACTCTTATAGATGTAAAGAAGTTATACTACTTATTTACTAAAATTAATGGAAAAATAACGGAACAATATATGCACATATCAATATTTCAGATGAACAACACTGGGAACTATCACCTGACTCTGCCCTTCCCCTATAAACTCATTGCTGCTTTACAGCTTCTTTCAGCTCAATGTTCAGATTTTCCATCCTACAATTTTTCTGTTTTTGACTCTGTTCAACTCAGTGAAAAACCTTGAAAACTAGCTGGTGAACGTAGGGAGCCATTCAACAGCTAAAGAGTTGTTTCCCTCAGGAGTTAGTCAAAGCGAGGTAAGAGCAGAGCAGATGTTGGACTAAATTGTCCAGGTGGCCTGTAACACAACTAGAAATAAATATACTAATGGTGCCTTGTGTTCACTGGATGTGGAATTAGGCAAATGTTTAAATGCTAGATAGTTCACTATACATCAAATAGCTGCTCCCCAGTGAATAAAAATGAAGTAATTGAAAAATTTATCTTCATATCTTTAGCACATATTGATCCAATAAACATCCAATAATTAAGCTATGAATGGATTACCACAGCATCTGTATACCGGGGACTGAAAGTGCCACAATTAA